CATTTAATATTCTTTGCCAACACCATAATTCAAAGGTATCGATTCTTTGGTCTTCATTATTCATTGTCCAACTTTCACATGCATTTGAGGCTATTGAAAAGATCATGCACCTTAGTCTTCAAAATGACATCTTTGCTTTTTAGCACTTTAAAGAAGTCTTTTGCAGCAGGTTTACCCCACTTAATGCATTGTTTGATTTATTTTCTTATATTGTAAGCATTATTTTATTTGTAATTTTTACTGTTATTTGGGTGAAAGTTTACAGAGCAAATTCGTTTTCCATACAGCAGTTCATACACATTTGTTTCATGACATTGACTGCAGTTCTCCACAATGTAACAGCTTTCTTTCCATTTCCTCCTGGTAGTTGCCTCTTCCCTGTGTCCTTCCCTCCCATGCACTGCCCCCCACCAGCTCCAGTTATCTCCCTGTGCAAACACTGCCTTTCTGTTCTCCTACCATTGATTGATCACTCCAAGGAGTGTATCTACCTGATGTAAATATTCATTCCATATGCCTGTTTATTGTTTGTCTAGAAGCCACAGGAGTGAGTTCAATTCCAGTCCTGAAGGTAAGTAGGGGTGATAGTCTCAGGGGTCTCACCAGACTATCAGACCAGCAAACCTGGTCTGTTTTTTTTTTTTTTTTTATGATTTTGGGTTTTGTTCCACATTGTTCTCCCACTCTATCTAGAATCTCCTGTACTGATCCCCCTCCAAGTGGTTGACACTGGTAGCTGTACACCATTCTGGTCTCATGGTTATATAGGCTGAGAATCACATGGTCTACTAGTCCCTTGGACTAATTGTTTCTATGCATCTTTGCTTTTCTTCATTCTTCTTTGCTGTGGACAAGGAGAGAACCATCATTGCATCTGGATGGCCACTTGCAAGCTTTTAAGACTCCAGTTGCTACTTATCAAAGTAGAATATGGAACAGTGTTTTTGTGTAGTATGTTACGCCAGTTGCACTTGATGTCCCCTGTGACCATGGTCCCGAGCCCACAGGTCCAGCTACTCACTCCATCAGGGTAGCTGGCCCTGGCCAACAGGTCACCACAGCCTTGTCCCTTGTGAGCTCTACTATACACCCAGACATTCTTACAGGTTATACAGATATGCTTGTAGTGGCATTGTCTGCCAACCCTATTGTTTGATTTCTTGACTCCAGCTTCCATGGACATTGATTGTGGATCCAAGTACAGTGAAATCCTTGACAACTTCAATCTTTTCTCCATTTATCATGATATTGCTTATTGGTCCGGTTTTCTTTATGTTGAGGTGTAATCCATACTGAAAGTTGTAGTCCTTGATCTTCATCAGTAAGTACTTCAAATTCTCTTACTCTCAGCAAGCAAAGTTGTATCATCTGCATATCTCAAGTTGTTACTGAGTCTTTCTCCAATCCTGATGCCACATTCTTCTTCATATAGTCCAGCTTCTCGGATCATTTGCTTAGCATACAGATTGAATAAGTATGGTGAAAGGATACAACCCTGATACACATCCCTCCTGATTTTAAACCATAAATTATCCCCTTGTTCTGTTTGAACCACACCCTTTTGGTCTATGTTCAGGTTCCTCATGAGCACAATTAAGTTGTCTGGAATTCCCATTCTTTGCAATGTTATCCATAATTTGTTATGACCCACACAGTCGAATGCATATGCATAATTATGCATTCTTTTCATACTTAGGATTACGTAAGTATAATCAGGAGAAAGAAAGATAAGTGTTATTTAAAAACTATGTAGTAGTTGAAGTTTTAAAAGGTATTTTGAATGGCAAGGTTATTCCTTTGAGGGACTTAATATACTGAAAGAAAATCTCTATTTTTGCTCTTAAGATCTCAAAAGCCTCCCAAATCACAGTAAAAAAACAACTATATGCAATGTTTATTCTGAATCACTTTACTGATTTTTTTTTTCTGGTGATGTTAAGGTATGATTATCTCCTTTGCTGTATAAGATGAACTCTTTTGACTTTTATCCTTGTCATTACAATTGCCCATACATTATGTTCAGTCTTGAAGTCAAAGATCTCCATTGTGTGGGAGTGTGTTTTTGTGTGTGTTGAAAGAGAGATTGATTTTTCAAACCATTCAGCTTTATTTACCACATTTATTTCTAACAACTGAGAAGGCCACTTCTCTTCTGATTCTGCACTTGATCCACTTTGGGGTTCCCGCCCCTCCTGTGATAGTTGGAGTTGTGTGTCAGCTTGGCTGGACTGCAGTTCTGAGTGGTTTATGCAGTTGTGATACGGGCTTTTCACATGATGAGATTGGATATATATGTTTTGAGCAGCCAGTCTGTTGAAAGGGAGTTGCCCTAGGGGTGTGGCCTGCTTCCAATATATTTATGGACAACCTGGGAAAAAGAGACACTGTTCTGTGGATTGGGATCCTGCTGTGCTGCCTGCTCTTGTCATTGGTCAATGGGTTTATGAACAAAGTGGCCATGGTGGCAGGGATAGAGGTTATGCATGGGCTCAGCAACATGGACTTCCACTTACCAAGGCTGATTTGGCTACTGCCACTGCTGAGTGCCCAATCTGCCAGCAGCAGAGACCAATACTGAGTCCCCGATATGGAACCATTCTTCGGGGTGATCAGCCAGCAACTTGGTGGCAAGTTGATTACATTGGACCACTTCCATCATGGAAAGGACAGCATTTTGTTCTTGCTGGACTAGATACTTATCCATCCAAAGATATGGATTCGCCTTCCCTGCATTCAATGCTTCTACCAAAACTACCATCTATGGACTTACAGAATATCTACCATCATGCTATCCCACACGGCATTGCTTTGGATCAAGAGACTCACTTCACAGCAAATGAAGTGTGGCAATGGGCCTATGCTCATGGAATTCACCAGTCTTACCATGTTTCCCATCAACCTGAAGCAGCTGACTTGACAGAACAATGGAATGGCCTAAAAACACAATACGGCACCAGCTAGGTGGCAGTACCTTGAAGGGTTGGGGCAGTGTTCTCCATGAAGCTGTATATGCTCTAAACCAGCATCCAATATATGGTTCTGTTTCTCCAATAGCCAGGATTCATAGGTCCAGGAACCAAGGGTTAGAAACAGGAGTGGTACCACTCACTATTACCCCTAGTTATTCACTCAAAATATTTTGGCTTCCTGTCCTTGCTACCCTGTGCTCTGTGGGTCTGGAAATCTTAGTCCCAAAAGGAGAAACACTCCCACTTGGAGACACAATACTGATTGCATTAAACTAGAAGATAAGAATGCTACCCAGGCATTTTGGCTTCCTCAAGCCTCTGGATCAACAGACAAAGAAGGATGTTACTGTACTATCTGGTGTGATAGAGCTTGATTACTAAGGGAAAATTGGATTGACACTACATAATGGAGGTAAAGAAGACTATGTCTGGAATAAAGGAGATTCTTTAAGACATCTCTTAGTACTATCATGCCCTGTGATTAAAGTCAATGGAAAATTACAGCAACCCAATTCTGAGATGACAACTAATGGCCCAGACCCTTCAGGAATGAAGGTTTGGGTAACTCCACCAGGCAAAGAACCATGACCAGCTGAGGTGCTTACTGAGGGCAAGGAAAACAACGGAATGATTGATGGAAGAAGGTAGTTCTAAATATCAGCTATGACCATGTGACCAGTTGTAGAAATGAGGACTGTGATTGTTATAGATCTTCATTGTATATGTGCATGAATTATTTTTGTTTTCTTCTGTTATGAACTGTGAAATGTAAACTGGGTTAATGTGTTTTGGTTGTACGTGTGTTAGTGTATCATGCTAGGCACAAATATGACTTTATAATTGTCCTTATTTAGATATTATATATGGTTAAAGATATGTGTACCACTGCCAAGTTGACAAGGGTGGACTGTGTGATAGTTGGAGTTGCGTATCAACTTGGCTGGACCACAATTCTGAGTGGTTTAAGCAATTACGATGTGGGTTATTCCTATGATGAGATGAGATGTATGTGTTTTGAGCAGCCAGTCCATTGAAAAGGAGTTTCCCTAGGGGTATGGCCTGCTTCCAATATATTTATGGACAGTCTGGGAAAATATACACTCCTCTGTTTATCGGGATCCTGTTGTGCCGCCTGCAGCAGTCCATAAGCAAACAATCCACCATTTAGCCCAAAGATCTTGGATTCATCATTCGTTGGAGTCAACAGTAGGTATACTGCCTGCCAACCTTGAGCTCATCAGCCCCTGCAGCTTCATGAGTCAGGAAAAGCCTCCAGCTTGATGTTTGATCCAAGAACTGAGAGCTTGCCAGCTTCTATAAGGGTGTAAGCCATTTTCCTAAGATAAATTTCTCTTTCTCTCTCTCTATATATAAGTTTACTGGTTTTGCTTCTCTAGAGAACCCTGCCTAACACATCTCCCTAGTGGGACTCATGTCCTCATTAGTTAGCTGGCTAGTACATATTGGGGTTTTTTAAGTTACATGAAAGAGAACATGCAAAATCTAGGCTCAAAATGTTAGGTTCCTTTCTTTACTATATCCACTGTCTTTCCTGATATGAATCAGAATTTTAGAACCTGAAGGATCTTTAAGATCTTCCAGTTCAGCACCTTCATTTTATAGGTAAACAAAGTCATGGAACTAATGATAAAAATAATAGCTCATGTTAAAAAAAATTCTGTGTGAAGTGATTTATGAGCATGATCTCACTTAATCCTCCCATAACCACATCAGGTAAGTACTCATATTGTTCTCCTTTGGCACAGAAGTAAATTAATTACTAACTTGCTTAGGATCATTTGGCTTGTGCCTAGTAGAACTGTACTATAACAGGTGTGTGAGATGCGAAACTTTTTAATTTGAACTACCACTTTGCTATCAAGCTTGCCACTTTAGCTTTATTCCATCATGTTTATTTTAGAAATCATATCCCTAGCCCCTAGTTGAGAGGGGTATGTTCTTTAGTTTTACCTTGTTTGAGATACGCAAAAGCCAAATCATGGCTTCATTTTCCTCCTTTGGTACCCACAGGTCACAGCCAACCAAGATCCCAGCACATGAGGAAATAAATGACTTGTGTCCCACTGGGGAGTCCAGAAAGAGTGAAGAAGACACTACAGCCAAGGAGGAGGAGAAGGTCATAGACTGCATGTCTCTTCCTAAAGACAAATTAGCCCAATGCCAGAAGAAAACAGCTGTGCTGATTAAGAAAAAAATGGTAAAACAAAGAAAAAACTCATCAGGTTTTTTTTTTTTTTTTTTTTCAGTTTAAAAATAACATCCATGATTTGAGATCACTGCCGTCAAGTCGGATTTGACTCATAGCGACCCCTCCTTGGGTTTCTGAGGTGGTAGCACTGTGGAGGTTGATTGCCCAACCTTCCTTCTGAGGAGTGGCTGGTGGGTGTGAACCACCAGCCTTCTGGTTAGCAGTCAAGTGCCTTAGGCACTACGCTACCAGAGCTCCCATGATTTGAGATGCTCTGCCTTAAGTGCAGATTGGAGTACATGAAGTAGGAGAGGAGGGTATTTGGTTTCTTTATATAGTGGGGGAAACAAAGCAAAGCCTAGTTGGGGAGCCAGCCTTGAGGTTCCACACATATTTCACTGTGTATTGCTCCTTGGAGCACTCATGCTTGTAGCTTTAATTCAGAAGTAATGTTTGGAATTCAAAATGGAATCTCATCAGTAATCACCATGCTATTTCCCTCTAGAATCTTAGTGTTTGAAAAACTATGCACAGCAGTTTGAATTAGGGATTTTGGTGCTCTGAACAGCTCACTGAGTCAGAGTGCACCAAACTCAGAGTAGCAGAATTAGAGGAAAGGTACAGGGGAAGAAACAAACAGAAGAAGATCTATCCTGTAGAGTGCAGATAGCCGAGAAATACCATTAGAGACTTCCCTGGGGGAGCGACCGGCAGGTGAGAACAGCCTTCTGAGACCTCCCTGGGTCAAAGCAGAAGACACTCCATGCCAGCATACCAGCAATCACCCCAAGGATCTACCTTCAGCACCTGATTTTATTGGTAACTTGGGTCAGCTAGGTGCAAATGGGCACAGCCAGCACCATTGAAACCCAAGCAGAGATTTCATTGGTACTCCAGGAGGGTGGGATTGCTCCCCCCTCAGCAGGTCACTGAATAGGCTTGGGTCAGCTTAGTGGCACTGAGAGGTCTGCATTTGACTTTATCACTAATATTGGGACCACAGATTACTAGCAAGAATCTTATATCCATCCAAATCATCCAACACGTATGAGGGTGAAATCAAGTCATTCTCAGACAAACAGAAATTAAGGATTTTGTGAAAACCAGACCAACCCTACAAAAATGCTTAAGGAAGTCCTTCCAATAGAGAACCCACAGCATAGATCAACAAAACCAAGATACGTGGCATCAACACTAAAAACAAATCAGAAATAGATACTCAAAATAAGACCATAAAACATTGTACCTTAAAAACCAAGGAACTCAATCAGCATACAACAACAGCAACTAACCTATTAGAGGGAATAAAACTTCTAGGTACAGACCTTCAAATGGAGAGGAAAATAGGACAATGTCTTCACAGTACACACTGTTCTAAAAATGTAGAGACAAGAATATACTCCAAGGTAACCACAGAGAAAAGTAACAATCCTTCTAAGCAAATCCAGAAGGAAGGAAAACATATGGGTTTAATAAGCACAACACCAACTATAAAGAAGAAAAGGGAGAAAACATTAGCCAACAAACCGAACTCAGCACAGAAAAGTATATGGACCAAAGAAACACCAACAGCACAACAAAAAAAAAAACAATAGAATGACAGCAATCAATTAATACCTATCACTAATTACACTCAATGTGAATGGACCAAATGCACCTGTCAAGAGAAAGAGAGTGGCAGACTGGATAAGAAAAGATGACCCATCAATATGCTGCCTACAAGAGACCCACCTTAGACACAAAGATAAAAACAAATTAAGAGTTAAGGGATGGAAAAAAATGTACCAAGCCAATGGAAACCAAAAAAGAGCAGGAGTAGCAATATTGATTTCTGATAAAATAGACTCAGGTGAAAAACATCACAAGAGACAAAGAAGGACATTATATGATGCTGAAAGGGTCAATTGACAAAGAAGACATTACAATAATAAATATTTATGCACCCAGTGGAAGTGCTCCAAAATATGTGAAGCAAATATTAACTGAATTAAAAGGGATAATAGGCAACTCTACAATAGTAGTAGAAGACTTTAACACACCACTTTCAAAGAGGGATGGGTCAACTGGAAAAAAACTCAACAAGGATACAGAAGAACTCAACAATACAGTCAACAACCCAACCTCATAGATATATACAGAGAATTTCACCCAACAAGCACAATGCAAATTCTTCTCCATTGCACACGGATCCTTCTCCAGAAGAGTTCTCAGAGAAGAGTTGACACCTATGCTACGTAAACTATTCCAGAACATAGAAAAAGATGGAATACTCCCAAACTCATTTTATGAAGCAAGCATAATACTAATACCAAAACCAGGGAAGACACCACTAGAAAGGAAAACTACAGACCAATATCACTCATGAACATAGACGCAAAAATCTTTAACAAAATCTTGGCCAACAGAATCCAACGACATGTCAAAAAATTAATACACCCGAACCAAGTGGGATTCATACCAGGTTTACAAGGGTGGTTCAACATCAGAAAATCAAGCAATGTAATCCACCACATAAGCAAAGGAAAAGAACCATATGATTATATCAATTGCTGCAGAAAAGGCATTTGATAAAATCCAACATCAATTCCTGTTTAAAACTCTCAGCAAAATAGGGATAGAAGGGAAATTCCTCAACATAATAAAGGGTATATATGCAAAGCCAACGGCCAACATCATTATTAATGGAGAAAGACTCAAAACTTTGTAAGGTTCCCTTACAAACAGGAACCAGACAGGGATGCCCTCTATCACCACTTCTGTTTAACATTGTATTGGAAGTCCTAGCCAGGTCAATAATGCAAGAATGAAAAATAAAAGGCATACAAATTTGCAAAGAGGAAATAAAACTATACTTGTGGATGATGTGATCCTGTACATAGAAAACCCAAAGGACTCAAAAAAAAAAAAAAAAAAAAACTACTGGAACTAATAGAGAGGTTCAGCAAAGTGGCAGGATACAAGGTCAACACACAAAAATTTGGATTTCTCTACACCAGAAAGGAGTTCTCTGACAGAGAAATAAGGGAAACAATACCATTCACTATAGCTACGAAAAAGATAAAATATCTAGGAATAAACCTCACCAGAGACACAAAAGACCTAGACAGAGAAAACTATAAAACACTGCTACAAGAGACAACAAGGGCCCTTGTTGAACAACTTACCTGGTTCATGGATAGGTGGACTAAGCATTGTGAAAACATCAATACTACCTAAGCAATCTATACATTTAACGCAATCCTGATCCAGATTTCAACAAAATTTTTTAAGAACATGGAAAAACTAATTACTAATTTCATATAGAAAGGAAAGAGACCACAAATAAGCAGAGCACTTTTCAAGAAGAAAAACAAAGTGGGAGGTCTCACACTCTCAGATCTTAAGAACTACTATATAGTCACAGCATGGTATTGGTACAATGATAGACAGATAGACCAGTGGAACAGAATCGAAAGT